TGCGCTTACCACGCGAGCGGTCCGGGATCAAATCCTGGGTCGTGAGTCGCCCGGGCCAACCAAGCCTTCCATCCCTCCGGGGTCGGTTAATTGGTACCAGACTTGTCTGGGAGGATAAAAACACTGACTTGTACATCGGCTGGCCCCCGCAAGTCATTGTATAGGCCACATCGCATTCAAACGCCACTACGAATGTACAAATGGAAGTAGAATGCGTGCCGCATCCCAAAAAGGGATTGATCAACGGCAAATGCTTTTCCCCTTTACAATCAACTCAGTAACCGCAGAGAACAGCAGAGACAAGCTAAAAAGTTATCGATCTGCCTTGGTTGCCTGTAGTGGTTAGACAGTCGCGCTTATGTGAAACTACACAGAAACCTCTAAAAAAGAGGAAAAGAGCGCAGATATGGGCAACATAGCTTGACGCAAGAACATATGCTATAAAGGTGTCCAAATAGGTTCAGACGCGAGGAAGCTAACATTTCCACCGAGAAGAAAGAACAAAGAGCCGTTACCGACAGAGATGTTTGTTCAAAAACCACAAACTTAAGCTCACATTGCTCTTTTCATCAACAATTTTGATTCCGTCGATGTTAATTTGGAGAATTATTCGTGTTTTGTGAGCGCCAGCAGCTTTAACAGCCGCCTTTGCCGCTCGCATTGCATCCGCGCACATCGCATCCCCTCGTGCACTGTCCACATCTCGTTCGCCAATCAATTTCCCCTGAAAAAAGCGAAATTCAAATCGATAATCGTATGCTGATAGAAACTCGTTTAGAAACGAACCTTGTACGTGACGCCATTGCCCTGAAACCGGAACGGATCCGACGTCGCATTTGCTGAAAGTGGTCTCATAGAGAAATGTAGCATTGGATGAGAACTAGATATGATGTGATGGGAACAGTCCCACGTTTTAATGTTTTATTTTGCTTCAATAATAACGGATTGACATGCATAATCTGATGGAATATTCAAGTACGTCCCTTGAGGGTTTACTGGAATGCAAACACGATCAGATTTCAACGTACACATGAGTCAAATAAACAGCGGCTTATAAACAGATGGAGTGAAGTGCGGCATGATCACATGCCAAAATGGCCGTGCTGAACTGAGGCCAACGCGGGAGGGACGAAAGCAAATTGCCACCAACTCCAGAGATGGCGAAAATTCAGAGAAAAAAGGACAATCAAGAAAAGGGAATAGAGATTGAGAACATTTCGCAGAAAAGAAACTACCTCCAATTATGTTAGTAATCTACCAAAATCTATATCCCCTTTCAAGGCATATGCGCCATCTTAGCTATTTTCGGCACTGCTCTGATCATCTACTGCAGTGGGTAATCTCGCTGATGCTAAGGGCATGAACAGATAAATAACAATTGGGTTACCTATTCAGCAGCTGCGATTTTTATCATCTGACTGAATTCTGAACCCTTAAATGAGAGAATATACATATTGCGGTTACCTATTCAGCAGCTGCGATTTTTATCATCTGACTGAATTCTGAACCCTTGAAGATGAGAAATATACATATTGCGCAAGTTCATACCCTTAGGGCGCATTCATAGCGATGTCGGGTCGTAACGATCGCAGAGCGTGACATACGTATCGATCGTCTAATCCTCGAACGCGTTCGTCGATCGATATGCATCCAATGCTGTGCGATCGTTACAATTGGACGACCGACTATGAATGCGCCCCCAGCATGCTAGAGTTAATTTGAAAGAAAAAAAACAATTCAAATTCGTGATTACAGTGAGTAAATAGAAAGCTTTTACTAAGAAACCACTCTTTCACCTCCCAAAATAATTCTATACATCGCAGTCCATTCAGTACCTTTCCATCAATATCCGCCAGATGCATTTAAATGATTCTCTTGCGGCAGCTTCGATTAAAAATATCGCAACGAAACCTAACAATGCGAATTTTGTTATAATTTTTGCTGTTTAATGTTATGATCAAAAGCACTAACGCGGCGCCTATGGGAAACGCAGCATTGATGATATCCGAATATAGATTCTCGCACTCTCAAACTTGAATGACTTATAGGAAACTATACGAAAGCGGTATTTAGAGGCAGGTGCTTGAAGGAATCAAAGCTTACAGAACCGGTTGGATTTTCTCAGTCAATTCAACTAGAACTAGCTTTAGCTTTAATGAGCATCTAGTTTCTGCAGTTGGCGTGGTGTAGTTTATTCGTACACTTTTCTACTGTAAAAAAAAGTTTCACTAAACATGGAAAACTTTTAATACAATGAAAAAGTCAGGAAAACTGTACTACTCACTTTTAAGTAAAAAATTAGAAAAAAGGAAAGGGAGGGCGATATGCGAGGAGAACAACGTATTTTTTTCTTGCCGTTTTCACCTTTTTTTGCGGCATAAAACATTTTACGCCTTTTCATGAGGTTACAACAAGCTCACGCACACACAACTTTTTGTACAGCTTGCATACTTAGGATGGTTGCTCATTTAAGGATTAGGTTTGAGAGGGTTTTATGGGAGATAAGCACATGTACAATCACCAAGGAATATTTCTCTGCGGGTCCGTGAACTCAATGCATGATGGGGATTAAGAGTAGAGGTCTTAGAGCTTTTTTCTCTAAAATAGGCCATAATAACAATCAATATTTTAACAAGCTGTAATAGATAGAGCGAAATTTTGTTACTCAGAGCAGACCTCCTTCAGGTGTGAGTCTCATATGAAATAGATGGTAAGTATTACATGCAATCATATCAGGCAATTCATTCAAAACTTCTTACTAAACAAACACGATAACCAATACTGATACCGCCTCACACCTTATCAGAGATGAAGGTATATTTTCGTAGGCAGCATAACTTCTCACGGAATTACTTGGACAAAATAATCACATTAAGCATAGGTTTCTGCCTGATGAATGATACGAGACGTCTGCCTCAATTCTTTAAACACACCTATATCACAGATAACCATCAGCCTTTCGTGTTATTCTTACGTCATGTTCCCTATCTATAGTCCTTATGGCTAAGCCTTTTGATATTCTCTGACCATCTGATTCAGTAATTACATAATGCCACATTTCACGCCACTGATTATTGGTTTCACTCTGCGACCTGATGAAAATGGATATAAAATGGTTGCTTGCTCCTGGCTGCTTTCTAGACTTTCGCGTTCTTGCGAACCTATTCAAACGTTTATCACGATTCATTCAATATATAGGCGCTAGGAGAAGGAATAAAATCAAATTTATTCGCAAAACCTACGCTTCTTGTTTCGTTTCAAAACAGCAAGACGACTTTTAGGAGAAGGTGGGTTCTTTGGTTGATCGTCGGACGTCGGCTCGTTCTCGAGTTTCTGCACCATCCTGTAAAAATAATAAATCAAAAAAAACTATGGTATTGGACAAAAACTGGAAATTCAGGAGCTGAGCGACTACGATCAATACGAAGTACAGAAAGAATGAGGACGAAAACGATGACTATCGATGATCACGAGGTTTAAGGTCGCCTGACAGGTCTCAAAACATCTCGACTAAGCACTGATAACGATAGCGATAAACATTCGCGACGAAGTAATTTGTAAACGGTCGCAAAAGCGCGTAGGTGACGACAAACATCAACTGACGTTCATTTGCAGAAACACTCGAAGTCCCGCCCATTATCAGCCGAGCAGATCAAAACGTAATTGGAGCATGAAATACACAATGGGCGTTGGAGGTGGAAGTGAAACACATATCAATCAACACTAATTATCAATCATGGAGAGAGTTCTTCCAGTTGAAAAGCGAAAGAATGCTGATGGCGAGACTTGTGGAAAGAGACGTGCGCTTACTGTTAGGTTATGTTTAAATGGAAATCGATTGAAACCACATTTTGTTATAATATTCAAATTTCAAGATAATTGGCTTTCCGAGAGGCAAAGAATAATAACTGAATGTGAAAAGTCGCACAAAAGTAGCCAAGCTTTCATGATCAACTGGAAATTCGGACAGTCAAAAGCGATGAGTCAACCAGCTAGCTGACGGGTGGGCGGACCCGACGTGATATTCATCAGCGGACAGGCTACGGCCGTGATACACAAGGGCTTTTCCTGCTGATGAGATGGGGGACATGGGAACCATCATTGACTAAGGATATGAAGTTCTTAGAGAACGAGGTTTTCCTCGCAGCCGTACACTGATCCGGTTCTTGGATTACCACCACTTTCCTATACCAAGTGAGTCAAATTAGATGGCTTAAGGTTAATACCAGGCAATAGAAGAAACCAATCTCAGATATGCATATCGACAGAACTTCGCGGTTACAGTTTGAGAATGCGCATTCATACTGCTCAACGATTTCTGTAAAGTCGAAGCTCATGCGGATTTTCGAGAAATTATCACTGACACGGCGGAATTATTTCCGTGGCGATGGTGTCCTTGACTGTGGGCGTTTCGGAGCAGCAATTCATTCTAGCAACAGTAATTCAATTTTTTTGCAAACGAAGGAAGATGAAGGGTCCTTGTACAAGAACGAGACCAAATATGCATAGAAAATTAAAATATTTGTCTGAGATTTAAAACCTTGAGGGTTCCACTCCACGATATACCCCCCCCTCCCCTCAGTGCGAGGGCGCACTTCAGCTTACATCGGACAACGCTCTACTCTCCCCGTTGGTATTTGAAACAGCATCCGCATTTTCCTTAATGGTTAGAGCTCAGTACTAATTTCTGCAGTAGGACGTTTTTCTCACTGAAAACCACGACGTTCATGGCCTCAGGGAGACAGTCAAATAGGGTCGCTGGTTTCTTACGACAGCTTGTTAGGGGTAAACCTTATAGCAGTGGGCGAGAAATTGGCAGTAAGGACAAAGGTTTCGCATTCACAATCATCCTTGGCATATCCCTTCTCCTCCTAAGTCCTGAATCCCAGTGCTACTAAGTGGTCACATTCAATGTCCTTCAAACATATGAGCCTCTTAGTTCATAAGAGAGTTCGGCAGTTGATATCAACGTAAGGCTCATGTAGAAATGGCCAAAAGTGAAGGTTGCGGGGGGTGCCCGCGAACAAAGCTGATTGTTTGCCTTTGCTTTTTAAACGCCTGGGCAAATCTTCAACAATATGAGTTCCCCTCGGACATAATGATAAAGTGTAAGGAACTTGGTTCTGATATGTTCAATGTTGGTGAGCCTTGAATTCAGAGACGTAGTGGCGTTTGAACGCGACTTGATCTATCACTACAATGCTTTGTAAGAGACAGACCAATGAACATTCTGTAAAGTATTCAGAGAGTTTGGTTATCAAGGAAAAAACGGCAAGGAGGATGGAAAGATTTAAGCTGAAATGGATTAGGCGCCACGAAACGATCTAAGATTATTACAGCGACCATGCCGCACTACTATCCATTCCCCGAGATCTTTATATACGTAATTTTATATGGCCGCTCCAACCAAAGAAATGTGAAGTTACGGGGAAATTGGAGTCCAAAAGCTTGTAGGGTGGATTATGTCCGTCTTCAGGAGATGGTTTATTTCCTTTTTCTCCTTTATTGGACCGTTCCTAATCGTAACGCATGACATGCATGCAATCACTATGTACGGATGATTCATGGCGAAGCCTGAATCACCTTGGACTTTTAGCGCAAATACGATTGGCGTGGTATTCCCCAGGAAGAAAATGAAGAAAATGTTTTTTTTACCATTCGCACGAGTGCATCTACATTGAAATACTATGTGAATAAATCGAAAATAACAGGCGTTATTTGAATTTGAAAAAGAAGCTCAGAACCGAATGATATTTATCTTCTCGAGAGAGCGTGAAGAATAAGGATAAAGGATAAAGCATTTTTAATTCCCTTTTGGGATGCGGCACGCATTACTTCCATTTGTACATTCGTAGTGGCGTTTGAATGCGATGTGGCCTATACAATGACTTGCGGGGGCCAGCCGATGTACAAGTCAGTGTTTTTATCCTCCCAGACAAGTCTGGTACCAATTAACCGACCCCGGAGGGATGGAAGGCTTGGTTGGCCCGGGCGACTCACGACCCAGGATTTGATCCCCGGACCGCTCGCGTGGTAAGCGTGCCACTTGCCACTACACCACTTCCGCCCAAGCACGTGAAGAAAGACCCTTTAAATTTTTTTTTCTGGGGGAGGGGGAGGACTTAACTCAAAAGGGCGCCCTCCGGAGGTTTATCCACATTAAAAAGTCATTACAAACGAAAAGATCTTAGGGTTTTCTTCCATTCCCCGAGGCGAAGGATACCATCCATTTTCTAAAGAAACTGGTTTTGCTGGCCATTATATTACAGGACTATGAGGCGCAGCGTGCCTCGGAAAGAAGATCGAATCTTTCGTATTGCGTCAGGGTTAAGGCAACCCTCAATTTTACCTATGAGGCCTAAGCTTGAGCACAGGAGGGTGACTGATTTCAAGAAAAGAAGGCCTGATGCGTCTCTTATCCCAGAGTCCCTCACCTTTTTGAGCTTTCTAGGCTTAGCAAAGTTGGGTTCCAGCAGAGCCCTATCTTTGAACAATGCAACAAACCCATTCCAAAGCCCACTCCAAGGCTTTGGATTTCTGAACTAAATACTGATTAAAAAAGTGCCTTCGATCAAAATACAGAATGGATAAGAGCGATGCCAGGGAGCTGGTGCTCCAGAGTGGCAGAAAGGCCGAGATTCAATAAAAGCAGCAGAGAAATAGAGACAGCAGCATTTCCTGTACGCTGGTCGCTTTAGCTGGTTCGTGTTCATGTGGAACCGAATGCGCACAAAATAATACTTTAAACACCGGTTTCTTTTCAAAATATACTGGAAACGATGCGCTGTAGCTACAGTTATGAAAATAAGCATAACAGTTTAACTATCCAGTTCTGTATTCATTTCTATTTTTCAAAAGTATGGAAATAGTTAATTTACGCGCTATAACAATATGTGGGAGTATCCACTAGGACTAAGCCAAGGAGGGGGCAGGAACTTTGGAAAAATGAAAATCGCTCACGCACCCTGGAGCTCTCCTCCTCCGCCTAAGGCTTGGTCCCATTTTTAACAAAAAGAGATGTTTTACGCGGTTTTAAATGCATTGCCACTACAATGCCCCGTATCTTGCGATAGCGCCCTTAATTTATGAAGAACCAAGACAGAGGCCTTAAAGCAGTTGCTTGACATGGATAAATCTGTTCGTGT